ATGATCAGGTGATATTAACTTTTTGAAAAATGGAAATTGTATAAATGCTCTGGTAGAACACTTACATCAGGCCCCTTATCTACCTTTACTGATAGTTTGTCTCCTAAAATCTTCTACTTGAACTTTTGGTTATTAACGTTTTAGTTGATTTTGCAAACAAATGTTCACATGACCGATTGCCTGGTTCAACATTAAGGACAGTTTTAAATTTTTGGTTTTGAAACACACTTTCTTTGTTTTGAATTTCCCATAGAGAGCTCTATGAGTTGTGACATTTTTATTTTTGGTATAATGTAATATTACCACAACATTTACAAAAACTAAGTTTTTTTATGTTTCTGCTTTGAGCATGTCATTTCATGCTTTTTGATTTATTTCAGCATTCACCCTGTCTCTAGAGGAGTTTCGGAAATCGAAGTGAAAATTGAAACGTCAATAAACTTACTTTAACCTTTAATTGTGGCTTATTCCCTTTTAAATAGTCCCGGATGAAACCATGAGTAAACTCAGGTCATACTCTAAAAAAAATTTTCAGCCAACCTTCCATAAAGGTAAGCCTTTGGTCTACTGGTATCTCCCCACCTGCTGGTAAAGGCAGTAGATTAATAATTTCTCACATTGGCAGTGAAAAGGATTTGTTAAGCATGGTTTGTTGGAATTTCAGTCCAAAAGCACAAAGACTATCACGAGGAGATGACGGCTGATGTTTTCGAAGAGCCAACGACTGCGTGGAAGAAACAGGATATTCTTGACTGGCTGCGGAATAAGTATCTGCCTTACGAAGATGGAATGGTAAAAGCAGAACTTTTAAAAATTGCCCGGCAAGACAAATCTAAGTTCAAGAAATACGTAGTTGACAAAATGGCGAAACATCACAGTCCTTAGACTTCCACCCAACAACTGCGAAATAAATCCAATTGAACTCATTTGGGCACAAATGAAAAGTTATGTGGTTAGAAAAAATACGTCAAATAAAATACAAGCTGTACGTGAATTGTTATACGAGTCTTTACAACATATTACAGAACAAAACTGGAAAGATGCAGTAAGACATGTAATAGAAGAAGAACAAAAAATGTGGGATCTTGATAACATAATTGAAGCGACCGTAGAGACACAACCGCTAATTATTAACTCTCAAGACGACTCGGATTTCGAGGTTGATCTTATTTATTTTGAATTTGAATAGTTTTCTAATCGTAATTATATAAGGTAAGTAATAGAAGTTGTAATCGTAAGGTATTAAAGGGGAAAGGCGCAAAAAGTTTCTTTTGCATGTAATATTTTCAATTAAAAATTATACTATATTTTCTCTTTTATTTTCACCCATGTTACATAACATATTAAAATAAACATTGTAGAAGTTTTCAGGGATTTTCTGACATTTGGCGCATTAATTAAATCATTGTATCTTTTACAAATGGCAAGAAACTTTTTATTTTTGAATAAAATAAAGAAGTTTTATTAAAACAAAAATACAATTTAAAAAATATATTTATTTAGTTCAAATAAATGTTTCAATTATATACTCTACGACACTGGTCGGTCATCTGTAACCAAAATACTTTCGTAATCTGATTATAAGGTTGATTGCTGTATTGTATTCCTTCAGATACAAGGTGGGTTGTCGAAAACATCTTCAACCGTCAGTTTCAGGTTGGTTTTTACTATTATATCGTATTACCTATCCTCTCTGTATTTTAGTTATCTAATTAGGGTTAAACTTATAGTAAACTATCGACAAATTGTGAACCGACTATAGTAATATTTTGGAATTATAATCGCATGAGTTTTGTTACAAATTTTGTTCGTTACCATTTACAAGTGTGATGTTAGGATACATCCGATGCAGGTGCGATGTAATCATTTATTATTTTGAAGACAAAATGTTGAAATCATGTGAAACCAACTCATGTGAAAACTACATGTTTTCACATGAGTTCAGTTGCAAAATGATTTTCTTCATCATTTAATAGCATAATAGTTAATTGATCATTTTTTTTATTCATTAATTGATCATATTTTGCATCGATTTATCATTTTATATTAACATATCACAGCTATTATTACGTAAAATAACTTGTTAAGCGTTTGCTTCAGTATCTAACAGTAGGGGAGGGTAGTACACAATGAGACAAAAAACACATTTTTATGAATTTGTCTACGAAGTGAGTTAACCAGGCATCAATATGATTATTTCCTCAATATAATCTGAAATAAATATTCCCTCATGAGTAAAGAAACAAAATCTATGATTATTTTTCTAACCGTCTACATCTGCCTCATTGTGTACGATTGGTGGTACACAATGAGTCAAGTGGTGGTACATAATGTGTCAAGTAGTATTATTTCAATAATTTGTTAAATTTAATGCATAGAGTGTAGTTTTTATTATTAAAAATAGCAATTTTACATTTACAATAGAAAAACTAAAACGAAAGAATACTTTAACGGATCTTAATACTGTCAAACTTTACATCAAATTTGAAATAAGATGCAAGGCGCTTGTTTTTTTGATCTACATCTTTTGGTTTTGGTAGAATTGATACAATGTCTGACCTTGCCACTGCAGCAATGTATTCAACTAAAGGAAAAATAAATCAGCCTTCAAGCTTACCACTTTTTCTTAAAAATGACACTTTAAATTCATTATCGTCTAATGTCTTGAGAACTTTAGCAACATAAAATATATTGTTTTCAAATTTCACTAATACAAAATTATCAATGAAAATTTCTGTACTAGCATTAATGTCATAATCGTCTTCCAACTGTAAATTTTCACATTCATCGCCAGAAGAAACATCGTAATTTATTAGTTCTTCACCCTCCTCGGATGAAGTGCTATCACTTCGTTTATTTTTTTCTGCTTTGGTGTTGAGCCGCTTACCTTATTTAAATTGACCCTAATTCGTTTATTATTCCGAGGAGTCATTTTTTGGTTGTTGCTTGTAGTTTTAACTGATCCAAGTCATGTGTGTTAAAATTGCATTTTTTTTTAGTTTTCCTTTCCTTCACACCTTTTCTCTTTTCTGCTTTCAGAAATCCTTTAAACTCATGAGGGGAGATGAAAGAACTTGAATTCGCAGATGATTCTATTGACTTTCAGGTGTCATTGGTGAGGATACTTCTTGATTTTTAGGTGTCTTCGATGAGGATGATATAACTTGATTGGAAAGCACACTAAACATTTCTGTCGACTCTGGTTGTGGATTTGGCTGTTCAGTTTTATTTGGTCTATCAGTCACAGAACTGCCAATGAAGTCAGATTTAGAAAAATGTCTCTATTAAGGGGAAAAATTCCCCTTAGGGTATTGGGGTATATTGAAATAGGTTTACCAGGATGGTTCAGCAACCATGAGTCTATAGCAGCATTGTAATACGCTTTAAAGGGAGAGAAAATTGAAACATCAAGGGGTTGCAGTTTGTTACTGCAATGTGGAGGCAGAGTCAGTATGATTACACCATTATCCTTTGCCAGTTGAACAACTTGATATGTTACGTGACTCTCATGACTGTCGTAGATCAGTATGGAACGGTTTTCAATTAAACTGTTGCTAAACTTGAGGAAATGTTTCATAACGTCAACAAACAGCTCGTTATTCATCCATCCACTTGGATTTGTCAAACCCAGTGTGCCAGGTGGAGCTCCTTGTGTCCTCCAAGCTCCTTATAATATTTCCTTGGAAAAACCATAACAGGAGGCAGAAACGTACCATTCGCACATACAATTACACATGTAGTAATAAGAATACCCCTTTCACCGCTAGTACAACTATTCAACTGTTTTACACCTTTCTCCGCAACGACTTTCTCAGGTTTCTGCACTGTTGTTGTACTAGTCTCATCAAGGTTATATATCCTGATATTAGACACAGCTGATGGATATCTAGAATAATAGGCATGTAAATTGTCGAAGAACTTGTTGACATTGTGTGGATTAAATGATGTTAATCTTGATAAACAGCAACCCTTTGGTTGACGTATACTGAGGTTCCCACGCCTATTTAAAAATAAACGGAACCATTGGAGTCCAGCTATTTTACCTTTGTTCCAATTCGCTGGAACTAGAATATTGTTTTTAATTGCCATGTCATATGCTACCTTTCGTGCTTGAATGTTTGTATTTCTCACGTAGCTCATTTTGCTACATAGTCACACAGAAAAATTTCCTGTTCCTCTGAAAACACACGTCGTACAGCATAATTGGGTTCCATTCGATCATCATCTGGATTAGTACGTTTTTTTGCGACATTTCTTTGTATTGTCTGAAATTTTACTCCGTGTTCAACTGCAGTAATTCTTAATGATTTTCCATCCAAATCATCTTGTACGGCACTTTCCATATAATCGGAGCTGAATGTCGCTCGACTCCTTGGTTTTTCTTTGCTCACCATGTCTCTAACAAATATAATAAACTTTTATTCTACTTATACAACATATCACTATAGCATAAACACTTGGTACAAATTTTAATAGTACACAATGGGACACTCTCATTGTGTACTATCACCCGGTGTCTCATTGTATACCAAGTAGCATTGTTGTAAACAAATGCAAATAATCATATTTAGTAAATAATCAAATTAAATGTTTAGTTTTGAGACATGACTATTTGAGGTTAGACTAACTTAACTGTGGTATTTCACGCATACACTTCAAATTGACACAAATCAACAATTAGTTCTAATAATAAGTCAACAAAACTATATAAAAAGTAACTTCTTACCTTAATTAAACAGTTTATCACTGTAACTTTTACGAGGTCACCAATGTAAAATACTATAAAAGGACTGTAAAATGACATTTCTGAGATAATGGTTGCGTTCACCAGATTAATCCGCTTTCAATCCGATTGCACAGCGTTTAATGCTAAGAATTAAAGTTTGGTGAACGACTGACGTTTGACAGTTGTGCTTGTTGCTTTGTTTTTGTTTTTATTAACCTAGCCACACAATAAATAACAATACCTAACTAAAATGGATAATGTTCTTGAAGCATTTTTGTTTGGGGACGATATTTTATATTTATTTATATATTATTTTTTATAGTGTTATTATATTTATATTCTATTTCAAATAAATTTGCCATTTTTTATTTGATAAATTTATATGTTGGCGGAATTCGACTATTAGAATAAGCTATTCATCCATTCAGCGATGATTAAGCACAACAAATTTAAGGCTGAATAAAATGGCGACCGCTTATAGCCGCTTGGAGATAGCGCATGATCAGCACATCGTTCACCAGAATCGATTATAAGCCGCGTGCAAGCAGCTTCTACGCGATTGAGTCTGGTGAACACAACCAATGTTGATTGCAGAATTGAAACTTGGCGATAAATTAAAAAAAAAAATTTAGAATGTCTTATTGTGTACCATGTCTCATTGTGTACTACTCTCCCCTATATTGGATGACTGATCTTTTTTTGTTGACATTATAGAACATTCAACAAATGAAATTTGATCGGACGGTTCTTTTTCTGCATATACCAACATAGGTTGAGTTGACTTATTTTCTGTTGAAATTGTTATACTATTCTTACATGGGATTTTCTATAAACGTTCTTCTCCTGCATGTTCTTGTAAATGTCTATATAGGTTATTTTTCCAGTTGAATCTCCTAAAGCAAAAATCACACCGAAAGGGTTTTTGACCTATATGACTTTGGATATGACGCATAAAGGAAGAAAATTGTGTGAACTGTTTGAAACAATATTTACACCTTAATTTTTCTCCAGTATGAGATCTCATATGTTTATTTAAAAACGGTTTTGCTCTAAACCGTTTCAGGCAAATTTCACATTTATATGGTTTTTCACCCGTGTGTATGCGTCTATGGTAAATCAGAGATGGATGTGATGAAAATCTTTTTGAACATATGTTACACTTGAAGCGTTTTATTTCCATATCGTGTGTCGATTGATTAGTTTCTGTAGTGTCACATGGAATATGCTGCACAGATTTTTGTTCGAAGTGTTGGGTTGCTTGATCAGTTTCTGGAGACATAGGGGAGCTAGTCTCACATGAAACATTGTTTGTTTCATGTGATACTAGCACTTGTTGCAAAACCGTTTCTTCGGTATGTAGCAGCATATGTTGAGTTAATTGATCACTTTCTTTAAATTCTTCAGAGCAAACGTTACATTTGATAATTGTTTCTTTTGTGTGGCATTGTAAATGTTCAGTAAAACTATCTATTTGTTCAAATTTTAGAGAACCAACCATACATTGCTGAGTTTCTTTAGTGTGTACCAATTTATGTTGCATGAACTGATCATTTTCTGTAAACACTTGGGAACAAATATCACATTTGAACTTGTTTGGATGAACTTTCATTTGCAGATTTAATTTTTGTGGATCCATACAAACTGTTTCTAGAGAACCTGCTGAATGTGTACTTGTGTGAAGTATGCATTGGTTATTATGAGTGATTTTTTTATCGTAAACATCACATTTAAAAGGTTTGTCTTCAGAACGCTTGCATATATGTTTTTTAAGGTCAACTATATATGCGAATGTAATAGAACAAACGTCACACTTGTGTGATTTTTCTTCTGGGTGCCTATGTAAGTGTCTTTGAAGTAGGTAGTTTTTTCTAAACTCTTTGGAGCATTTTTCACACTTGAAAATATTTTCTTCCGTGTGTAGCTTCACATGTGTACGTTTATGTGTGAGGCACTGATCATTCTCGAAGAACTTTTCATAACAAATATCACATTCAAAAGGCTTGTCTCCAATATGCATCTGTAGATGTCTTTGAAGTAAATAGTTTTGTCTAAATTGTCTAGAACAATATTCACATTTTGGATTTTCACCAGTGTGTACTCTCATATGTCTGTTTAATAAATATTTCGCTTTGAACTGTTTCGGACAAATTTTACATTGAAAAGGTGTCTCTCCAGAATGAGATCGAATATGATAAATGAGAGCTGCTTTTGTAGTGTATCTTTTTGAACAGATCGCACATTCGAAGGGTTTTAATCCTTTGTGGTAAAATAAATGGCGATTTAGACTCGTGTTTGTTGTGAACTGTTTGAAGCAAATTGTGCATTGGAATGGTTTTTCTTCAGAATGTGTATATAAGTGACTTTGAAAATTATAGGTGTTTGTAAACTGTTTAGAACAATATTGACATTTTAGAAGGTTTTCGCCAGTATGTAACCTCATATGTTTTTTCAATGCATGTATATTTCTGAACTGTCGCGGACAAACTTTACATTTAAAAGGCGTCTCTCCAGAATGAATTCGAATATGATAAGTGAGAGATCCTTTTGTAGTGAATCTCTTCCAACAGATCCTACATTGGAAGCGTTTTATACCTTTGTGTAATGTTAAAAAATGGCGGTCAAGATTTTGACTTAGGCTGTATTGTTTCAGGCAAATTGTGCATTGGAACGGCTTCTTTTCTCGATCCCCCAACACATCACTAACCATACTATCCTTTACAACAACTAAAGAATGAACACCTAAAATATTATTAAAAATTAAAATTGTGACGTGTTTTACAAAAACGGCATAAGTCTAAATTAACATGACATTTCTACAGACTAGGACAACGGTCGGCAACAGGCGGACCGCGGTGCGAACCGCGAAAGGTTGAACTGCGGAATATCGATTACTGAGTCAATCAAGTTCAAAATAAAACTGCTGTTAATTTTTTGAAATATAAAGTGAAATGATAAATAAACATAATAACAATTATGTATAAGTGATGAAATATTGTTTTATAATAATATTGTATGTTTACAATAACTGAAATATATAAATCTGGGGAATTCTGGCAATCTGCTGAAAATCTGGCTTTTAACTTTTAAAACACGATTTGGGGAATTAAAATTTATGAGCCTGGCAACGCTTCTGCCCACTGACTGACACTGACAGTCGGTCACTAGTTGGTCAGTGGCATGCACGTTGCACACTACCGTTAATTTGTTTTGTGATTACTTGCTTTTTCGTTCGTTTTATAAAACATATTTTTGTACCTACGTTAAAATGGATTCGAAAAGGAGAAAAGTGAACAGTGAAAATAGGAAGTTTCTAGTAGAATGGACTGACTGAACAATATTGTTTTACACTGCCTGATAGGCCACAAGCGTTTCCGGTGTGCCTTATATGCAATAAAACTGTCGCCTTAGTTAAAAGTGAAATTTTGAAGAGACACTATGAAACAACACAACGATAACTACATCTATCAGCTGTTCCAGAAAAACTTTCCTCTTGGCAGTCAGATAATGTCAATCATGAACAATTGATAGATATTCTGCGAAAGACAGGTATTGACGACAAGGACATTCGAATTGTGGCAAACCTATACTGGGGTCAAACAACAAGAGCAAAAATTGGCAACGAAATCACTGAAAGCGTGCAGATCAAAAGAAGTGTCCATCAGGGGTGTACATTATCCCCACTCCTATTCAATATGTATTCCGAGGAAATATTTAACAAATGTATGAAAAATGCAAATGAGGGTATAAAAATAAATGGCCAGTTAACGAACAATATATCACGACACGGTGATCCTTGCCAGTACCATAGACGAATTACAACAAGTAATGGAAAGAGTTTATTCAGTTAGTAAGGAATACGGCCTGAGCCTCAACTTCAAGAAGACAAAGTGGATGCTGATAAGCAAAAAAGCAACAACCTGCTCGACAATTACGGATAAGTAACATACTAATTGACCATGTAGAATCTTATGTGTACCTTGGCATCAACGTAAATGCAAAATGGGAACAGGCCACAGAAATTAAGGCGAGAATAGAACGAGCTAGATCAGCATTTGGCGGTATAAAAAAGCTCCTCATAAGCAAGGATTTGTCTCTTCCGCTAAAACTATGTCTAGTTAAATGCTACATTTTCCCGATCTTGCTGTATGGTGTGGAGGCCTGGACGCTGACGGAGACGCTCACGAGAAAACTAGAAGCATTCGAAATGTGGGTGTACTGACGCATTCTTCGTATATCCTGGACCGAACATGTCACCAACATAGAGGTACTCCAAAGAATCGGAAAGGAGAAAGAAATCGTGAATACAATTAAACAAAGAAACCTTGAATATCTAGGCCACATATTGAGACAGGATAAGTACCGTCTGCTGTAATTGATTGTCCAGGAAAAAATAGACTGTAAGCGAGGGCCAGGCAGGAGAAGACACTCGTCGCTCCAAAATCTGCGGAAGTGGTTCGGGCTCACATCGGTCGAACTATTCAGAAGCGCCGCAAACAAGATTAGAATTGCCATGTTAATAGCCAAAGTTCACAACGGACAGGGTACTTGAAGAAGAAGAAGTCAGGCACGTAAAGAAAAGCTTCGGGTATGTCTTAATTCTTACGAAAAAAGCACATAAATCCGCTGCATGAGCAACCAAGAAAAATCCACAGAGGCAACGTTACGTTTGTGCTGGATACTTAATAAACACCAAAAACCATTTTCTGATTTTGAGATAGTGAAGGAATGTATGCTGGCTGAGTAGCTAACTCACTTTTTGAAGTAAAAAAAAAGATGTTGCCTCAGCACTTCAAAGCATTTCATTGTCAGCGCGAAGTAATACACGAAGAACGAAAATTTTAGATACGGATATTAAAAACTCTTTTCTTAATCTTTTGCAAAAGGCACCTTGCTACGCCATAGCACTTGACGAATCATGTGACATTGCTGATGATGAACAAATGTCTGTTTTTGTAAGATTTTTTGATATTGAGTGTCAGATTTTTAGGGAAAAGTTGATAGCAATATTGCCGCTGAAAGGTAACACTCGAGGAGAAGAGTTATTCAAGGTTATTGATGAATTAATTTCTAAATCTAACCTCAGTTATAATAAAATGATTTCGCTTTTTACTGATGGGGCACCAGCAATGGTTGGCAAAGAAAAAGGTGTAGTAAAGAGGATCAGGGATAAAAATTCAAATTTATAACATAATAGTAATAATACACCAGGCAGCCCTTTGTTTAAAACTTAGTGCTAGACTTAAAGAAGTCATGGTCAGTTTATTGAAGTTAATTAATTTTATGAGATCTCATTCTGCTCTTTAGCACCGACATTTCAAGGAGTTTCTTTCTGAATGTGATTCAGCATATTCTGACTTAGTCAGTCAAGTCAAGTTATTGAACGTTTCTGGCTAATAAAACAACATGTTATCTCCTTCTGACAAAATATAGATACGCAGGGAGCCAGGGCACATTTTGAGTATATAACAGGGTGCAACATGCTGGTTGTGGCTTTTATAAAAGATATTTGAAAATATTTGAATGCGCTTCACACAGCGTTACAAGGAAATGGAAAATTAGTATGTGATCTGATACAAAACGTGTCTTCTTTTCGTCGTAACCTGGATATCTTTGAAACAGATATTGCACAACAAGAATTCATTCAATTTCAACTATTCTTGAATATAATAAAAATAAGGAGTACTCCGAAGATGACATTGCAGTGTTTGTAAAATTTCTGGTCGATCTTAAGGCGCAAATACACCATTCAATTCGGTTGAACAATGTGGATGATTCAATTACACTGTTCAATCCAATTGAAAAGCATACATATACACGCTTCAATTTATTCTTCATTCAATTCGATTGAACAATGTGGATGATGGTTCAATGACAACTTAAAAATATAAGAAATCAATTGCAAACATATAAAATACATGCTGATTTTACTAAAAACCTAGTACATTACAGCGAATATAATATATTATATAATATATATATATATATATATATATATATATATATATATATATATATATATAATCATAAACCCGTTTATCCTAAGGTGTCGGGTGTAATGTCTTCAGTTAGTTGCATGTACAATTTTCCTCCATTGCTTCTTATTCTTTGCTTGGTTTCTTGCTTGTTCTTTGCTGATTCCTCGTGTCTCTAGGATTGAGGTAACATTATCATCCCATGTCTTCATTGGCCTGCCCCTTGGTCTCTTGGTTGGTCTTCTGGCTTCCATACTTTTTTAACTGGTCTTTCTTGATTCATTCTAACCATGTGTCCGTACCATCTTAGTTGGGCCTATTCAATTTTCTTAATAATTGGTTGGACTTTAAGATGTTCTCTGACTGCCTCATTTCTAATCCTATCTAACCTGGTTATACCCATTATTCTTCTAAGAAACTTCATTTCTATGCTTTGTATTTTCGATTTTAACTTATCGGTAAGCGTCCAACTTTCACTACCAAAAGTTAAGATCGGCACAAATACCGTCTTGTATATGGTCACTTTGGCTTTTTGGGATACTTCTTTTTTTGACAGAAACGTACTTTTAATTGCGTGGTACATCCGAGCAGCACTTTCTATTCTGGAACTTATTTCAGTTTCTTCAGTTCCTCTGTTCTCTATTTGTACTCCCAAGTATTTGTAAGTATCGACTTGTTCAAGTGTATTTCCGTTAAGTGTTATCTTCGTTTGTCTTCTATTTTTTCCACATACCATTACTTTCGTCTTCTCATTATTGATCCTCAAATTTCGTTTAATTAGTGCAGTGTTCCATACTTGTAAATTTCGATTGAGTGCTTGTTCATTTATCCCAAATATCACTAGATCGTCTGCGTATGCACACTTTGAGATCCACACTGCATCTAGATTTCTATGTCCGGCATATAATTTCAATGTTTCTGCTCTAGTTCTTTAATTATGTCATCCAAGACAATGTTAAACAGTATGGGGCCTAAGACTCCTCCTTGACGTAGACCTTCATTTACTGTGAACTCTTCGGATTCCATATTATCGGTTCTGATTATGTTCCTTGTATGTCTGTATATACTCATAATGGCTTGCCTGAGTTTAGTTTTCACTCCTTTCTTTTTTAAACATATATCAATCACCTTCCTTGGAGTACTATCAAATGCCTTTTCTAAGTCTATAAAGGCTTGGTATAACTCTGTGCTTGAGTTCCTTGCGTTTTGTATTAGTTTTTTGAAAATGGGTAGAATAACTCCCACTTCCCAATCTTTTGGTATTTGGCTCTCATTCCATGCCCTATTACATACTTTTGTTAGCAGTTCAATGCCCTTGTCGCCCATGTTTTTAAGCATTTCTGCTGTGATTTTATCAAATCCAGCCGCCTTACCTTTCTTAAGCTTTTGTATGATTTCTTTTGTTTCTGCTATAGTTATTTCATCTTGAATTTGGTCTTCTTGTTCTACCTCTTCTGGTTCTTCTGTGATAATGTCTACATCGTTTTGGATATTCAATAGATCCTCGAAATATTGCTTCCATCTATCTAGGATGTGGTCATTGTCATGAAGTAGGTGTCCTTCTTTGTTCCTTATTTGCTTTGGTGTTTGTGGAGCCCTTTCGGTTCTTAAAGTCTTCAGGGTTTTAAAGAATAACTTTTCGTTAGAGTGATAGTCTTTTTCCATCTTGTTTCCGAATTCTTCCCAACTTTTCCGTTTCGCTGCTAGTACCATATCTTTGACTTTGATTCTTTGCAGTTTATATATTTGGTAGTTATCTGCATTTCC